AACCCTGAGCCACGCTTTCTGCTGATCTGCAGCGGCCAGTGCCTCCATGCACACTCAGCTGAGGGGACGCCACAACTCACCGTCCTCACAATACAACCACAGGGAGCGCTGTGTCTTCAGACATAACCTGACTGTGAATAAATAACCGTAACTGTCTATAAAAACACAAAGTAAAATAAAGCGACTAATGCCCAAAATATTAGATGATTCATGACAGAAAAATAACAGCTGTTGCGTCTCTGAACAGATGAATCAAAACACAACATGGTCCAACAGGATGTACCAACATGCACACGTCACTGTGGTTAAATTAAAGGAGAGTTCACCCAAATATTCTCAACTGTTGTCTGCTGCACTGGCACATGGATGCATTTACAAAAACTAAAAACAAGATCACGTTAAAATATGCAGCCGACATTTATACACAACAAGTCAGTGTGAGCTCCTTAACTATTGGAGTTAATGTGATAACGTGATCATTTAATTATTTCATATGAACGTGACCTTATTATTCTTATTAACACGCCATTAATAAACAGTCAGACATTATTGTTCATCATCCACTAGATTAATCATTAAAAGTAGAAACTGTATTCTGTTTGTTTTCAGTGCGTCAGGAGTTTCAGATTCAGACTTTATTAATCCCACCAGGTCCAATTTGTCTGAACAGCTGACCGTGCACACACACACACTGTAACATACAGTAACATGCAGTAACACACAGACACCACAGGAGTAGTGAATAAAAATAAAAAATATGTCGAGGAGTTCAGCAAAATAAAGGAATCTATAAATAGTAAAAGACGTTAATAAACTGATTAGCAATAAAAGAGATTTAAAAAAAATGCTAAAAAATATTTACAGAGAATTTAAAAGACAAACTGCAGAGGGAATGAAAGATTTTGAACAGCAGTCAGTTTTATAAGAAGGTAAAACGTAACGACATCCTGAGAAAATTCACCTGCAAGGAAATATTTTCCAGAAGAAGCTAAAATACTGGCAGCTCTCTGGAGGATCTGTTGATTGCAGAAAGCAGTCACCTCCCGTTGTGTCACTGCTGTCTGATCTTAGAGCAGATTTCACTGAGTCTATTTAGACAGTTTGTGTCTTTGAATGTGAAACCAGCAGATAAATGAAAAACAACAGGCTCTCCATAAAAGACTGATAGAAACATCGGAGGATGACGGGACTGATGGGAAAGGATTTAGTTTAATTCTCTGTTACCTCGCTTCACAGTATCTGAAGTGTTTACAGCTAATTTAAGATGTTCATCAATAAAGGTTCCTAAATATTTGTAAGAGGTAACGCTCTCACTAACAGAGGAGTTCACCACAAACAAAACTCTACAGGTGTTATTTGATAAATAATATGAAATAAATCAATAATACGACAATATTATTATTTAGATAAATAATATTATAGTACAACAACACATGTTTTCAGAACACTGTGTTTATTATGACAAAAACAAAAGTTAATTTATTAAATTTAATGTATTCTAACATCTGATTTCTTCCATTCAAATAAATATTGTTAATGATATGTCACATGTAATCATGTTTAAATAATGTGGGTGATTAACAGACGGATGTACGTTTAATATTTAAACATTTGTTGGGTTTAGTCCAAACAGTCTCTGAGTAACTGAGAAATGCAAAAAGTGTCGGTACTGGGTGGAAGAGGGGATGTTCACACCATTTGTTACCCTCTCTGTACCTGTAACACAAAACATGTACTGATACTGATCCCAAAAAGTGTTGCTGCTGTCCCCAGTCTCCCCTATTTTCTACTGTGTGTGTGTGTGTGTGTGTGTGTGTGTGTGTGTGTGTTACAGTGATGCTGACATGGACTCACTGCATCATCTTAAATATTCATTAAGTGACATGAAGACTTTAAATGTCTGTAATGTTACAGGACGGCACACGATAGCAGAACTCCTGACTGTATGACAGCTGGTTGTCTGAAGACATTCTGGGTTCACTTCAGTAAAATGTCCAATTTTACCTGAATGCATCAAGTAGGGGAGACTGGGGACAGATGCAACACTTCTTGCTCAGTTACTCTGAGATTATTTGGTCTCCAGCTGGTCCAGATGTCTCCTCAGTCATTAGTTCAGAGTCCACACTGTTTAATAAACTCAGTGTCACACTTGTGTTTAGACATGTCGTCGAGTTAGTTTGCTGTCTCTGTTGAGAAGCTTTCTGTTAGTCAGTCACTCTACAAGAAGAAAGGGCATTTCAAAATAAAAGCTGTGTGTGAGAAACTCACTGTAATTAAAATAAAGTGTTTTTTACAAACATGACATGTTCACAAGTCAGCTGCTGTCCATTCACAATAAACATGTGACCCACTTTTAAACTGCGACCCACCAGTTGGGAACCACAACCTAAAGTTTATGTATCAAACTTCTGTCTAACATCTGTCTATTAATTACACACCATTTATACATCATTACATGTGACATATCATTTATGATATTTATTTGAATGGACGAAGTCAGATGCTGCAACATGTTGAAAATAAAATAAATTTAACAAATTAACTTCTGTTTTTGTCTCCATATGCACAGTGTGCTGAACACATGTGCTCTACTATAATATTATTTATTTAGTATTATTTATCAAATAACAATTATACACTTTTGTTTGTGGTAAACTCCTCTAGTAACCCTCCTCTTCCTCACTGCTGACACATAATAACAGAATAAAATTTCTACTTTTATTTATTCAGCGTATGATAAACAGTGATGGTTCACTATTTACTACACAATTGTGTTTTTGGTTGCTGAGTTAATGTTATGATCATTTCATTATTTCATATCAACGTAACCTTTTTATTGTGATCTGGGTTAGAGATCAGCAGCAGTTTCCAGTCACAGTGAAGTGTTTCTACAGTCCCAGCTGGACGAGGACATTTAACTGGCCTACTGTCCTTGTCCCAGTATACAAGCACGGGAGGGGAATCCATTTATTGAGCCAAGTATGTGCGTTTAATGCTATTGGACTTCCGGGTCAAAGCCCGGGGCGGAAACTGTGGAGCATGCTCAGAGCGCCTCTGCCAGTTTGGGTCTGATTGACTGTATACATGCAGGAGTCACATGATCTGGGTGTGTTAGTCCCACTGTGACACATTCACTGCAGGACCATTTCACTCACACTGACATGTTTACAGGGATTTATATAAATCTGTTTTCTCTGTTGTCATGAAAACAGACTGAGTGACATGTGCATGTAGGAAAATACTGTTGTGTGGTTTCTTCTTATACAGACGCTTAGCTTAGCTAACATTATATCAGACGGGACAGAGCATCATGTGACCTGGACACACACTAACCACGTCACTTAGAAAAAACAAAACAATGATTCAAACTAAATAAGGTTTATAAAACAATGCGTAGGATTTATACTAAAAAATTAGGGTTGCATGATAATGGATTTTTTTCCGATATGTAACAACCTATTTGACCAATAACCGATACAGATATCGATATATACACTTTTCCCCCACCTAATATTAGTGATCATCAAGTCTCTTGATGCACAATGACGGTCCAGCAGCTGATGGAAACATGAAATACAAAAGTTTGTAAAAATGTGAAATTGTGCAAAATAAGATAAAGCATGGTGTTCACTTTAAAAATTCATTATCGGCTGATACCGATGATGTGCTGCTATTATTGTGCAACTCTAATGTGCGTACGTACAAAAGCCAAAAATGGCGCCAAAAAATACTGTGCAGTTTCTACAGTCAGGCTTCACCTCAGCACCTTTGTGGCCAATTCACTGTCGCCAAAATGTTCATAAGCCTGGTTCAAAGTTTCTCCCGTCAAGGCTGTTCTGTGTAATAATCAGTCATTTTTATTGTTTTTTCTGAACTAAAAAACATCAAATCGTCGACATAATACAGCCGAATAAAAACTGAAAAATAGGATACAAAGACTGAAGAGGTGACACAGCTGTATAGTTGGACAGAAGACAACACTGAAACAAACTGACTGAAATAAAATTAACAATACTAAACAATAAAAGACATAAATAAATAAATTCAAATTGATTTTTAAGGATGTGAGGCAGCGTGTCATCGTACAGCTGCCCGTCAGGTCTGTTTTATTAGATCACAACTTCAGCTCGTTATGTGCAACACTTATAAGTGAGAGCTCCGGACAGTGTGACCAAAATACTGCTAACAAAAAAAAATGACTTTCATAACTCCAAAAACATTTTTACAATAAATGCAGCAGCAGCAGATGTTGGATGTTAGGGGCTTCCTTGGAAGTTTTGGGACCACATTATCTCAGACCTATAAAAATGTTTTATGTAAAGCACATTTGACAGCTGTTAACAACGTAGTAAGATCTTCGGTGACTGGCTGCTGATATTTAAAGAGTCCAAGATATAAAATCTAAAGGTGGGAATCACCAGAGGCTCCACCATACGATGTTATCACCATACATCAGTCATGATATAATATTAATTTGATTTTAAATGTGTTGTGATATATTGCCTTTTAAAACTGTAAATGATGTCCCTGAAAAGAAAACTTTGTAAATGTCAACAGTTTAATTGAATTAGAACGTTTTATTTGCATTTTATTTGCAGCAAAATGTTTGTGGTGAACCAAAAAAGCAATTTACTATATTATTCTACCTGAAGTTTAATTTGAATTTGACATATTAATAATTAATATAATTTAAAAAATAAATAATTGGTGTCTGTGTGATGACACAATATTGACACACACAACCATCGCGATATGGTGTTAAATTGAATTTGTTCCTCATCTCTAATAAAACCTGATCAGTCCCAGTTCACCTGCTGAACCACATCACCTGACCCTGACAGTGGTGATGGTCTCTCAGGTGAGCTCTCTGACTAACACACCTGTCTCTGAGCTCACACACACACCGGGCCCACAGCATCACACACACACACACACACACACACACACACACCATCAGAACCTCGAGACAGACAGGAGCAGCTTTATCCGGATCACTGTACCTGAATCTCCCTCCGCAGTGCTGGCATTGGTCCCCGACCCAGCCGGGGAAGCACACACAGTTCCCGGTGGCGGTGTTACACTGTCCGTTCATACACGGTTTGTCGCATTCCTTCGCCTCGGTGAAGCCGGGCAGCCCGGACAGCAGCCCGATAACGGACAGCAGCAGCGCGGTGGTCAGCATCAGCAGGCTCCGGCCCCGGCCAGAGCCCGAGCAGGCCCGCCGCGTCGCCCCGTACATTCTCTCACAAAAGATGGCTGCTAAAGGCAAAGAGCTCCGCTGCTTCGGGGGACGGAGGCTCAACGAGAGGCCGCTCGCTGTGCTTCGTGTGTCGGCGCGGAGCGGCGGGTTCCCGGGACGTAACGTTTAGTGTGTTCGGTGAGGCTGCTGATCGCTGGGTCCTCCGTTTACATCTTTCCAGTGGTTCCGTTTCCCCAGCGCCGCACCAAGCCGCATATTGACATCCGGAAGTGACGTGTGGCAACGGAAATGCGCAACCAGGGGGAGGCGAAGCGCGCAGGACTTTAAACTTTTATTTTGAAAACAGAGGGCAGAAATCCCGCCTTTTTACAGGCTAACGTTAGCATGTTAGCTTCTTTCACACAATGATTTATACTTTATTTGTATTTTAAAATCACACATTTAATCTGTTGAATAAATCACTTTAAAAAACATAAAAACAATCTTTCTGAATCCTGTGAGTTCTGTGATACCGACACAGAAACAATCACACCTTTACGTAACCCCTTAAAGACCTGACAAATAAGAAAGAAAGAAACTTAAAACTTCTACTGTTAAAACAGACAGCAGAAATCGCGCCTTTTTACAAGCTATTGTTAGCATGTTAGCTTCTTTTACATAATTTATAACTTATTTATATTTAACAATCACACAATAAATCTGTCCAACAAGTCACTTTTTAAAAAAACATTACAGAAACAATTAGACATTTATTTTATGACTAAAGTTATTTTAAATTCTTTTGTGGAACTAAGATGAATCAGAGAAAGCAGGTGTTATTTTTTATTGTGGAGAAATGATGTGGACAGACGTAATGTCTTTATTTTATTTTATAAGTTTTTCATCCATAAATGCAAATTATCTGAGAGGAAATTCAATATTCACCACTTTAAACATGAAGCCTACTTTGTAACACTAAAATAACTGACAAATAAGAAAGAAAGAAACGTAAAACTTCTATTTTGAAAACAGAGAGCAGAAATTCAGCCTTGTTACAAGCTAACATTAGCATGTTAGCTTCTTTCACATAATAATTCCTAAGTTATTTGTATTTTTAAATTACACATTTAATCTGTCCAACAAGTCACTTTTTAAAAAATATAGAAATGAATCCTGTGAGTTCAGTAATACTGACACAGAAATATTCATTTTATGAATATATTTATGTAAAAATCTTGTGTAGAACAAAGATTAACCCTTTGGGCCAGAATGACGCATAGTGCGTCCAAATTCACACCTGTTCTTCTCTGTGGATTTTCTCCATAACTGTGCGTCATAGCGAGAAGCCACTCATATCACGTGAAACAGCAGAACCGCAGCTTTTTTTTCTGACAAGACCAAGCACTTGTCTAGTAGTTAGTAGTCCAATGTTTGCATAGCCAAAAAAAAAAAAAAAGATAAAGTTACACTAAAATTATGTACAACAAAGCGTTCGTACAGCTTTGCCTTTGCACACACATCACTCACGAATGCAGGGTCGAGATGTTAATTTTTCATTGTGGAAAAAAAATGATCCAGACAAACGTCATGAACTGAAACTGTTCTTTGAAACACTAAAAGACCTGATGAATCAAACAGCCATCAGGACTAAAGTCAAAGCCTTAAATACTTTTCTTATTTTTTTAGTAGGCCTATACTTGTTTCCCCCTCTCTTTGTTTCTCCTGTTATTATTTTATGAAGCTTAAAAATAAAACTTAAAACAGAGAGCAGAAATCCTGCCCATTATGAGCTAATGTTAGCCTGTTAGCTGCTTTTATATAATATTATTATTTTTAATTAATTTTATATTTTCTCTGTAAGATTAAACATTGTACTGGAATAGTTTGTGTCTTTATTCTGAGCTGAGTTTATTGTACTGTCTCCATGATGCTTTGACAGGGCATGTGTTTGTATAATAAGGGACTGTTCATTATCGTGAGGGACTTATTTTTTTACTCCCTAAAAAAAGAAAACAAATTAAACCTCTACCAGCTGTAGTGTGTTTTATCTCTGTCTATGGAGGAACTGATGGAAGGTTAAACTTTTTTTTTTTTTTGACCTTGCCTTTTAGTGCTTCCAAACTCCTGTGTATCCCTTTAGCCTTGAAAATGTGTTGTACATGTTCCCTTTTGTACAGGTTATTTATACTTGTAAGATGTCTTAGGAGAGAGAAATCAAGGTGCATCTCTTGAAGTGGGTTTACTGGTAAATGTCTTTATTATGAGAAATAAAGTTGTCAAATAAAAACAAAATGATTTCTAAGCATGAAATTAAATTATTGAGCAAAGAATAAGTCGTTTGGCTAAATAGTCATAACTCATGATCCACTTACTGGTTTTAACTGCATCTTCTCAGGGTCTTCATCAGCAAAAATGAAACGCGAGCAACAGTAAGTGACTGTTTGTTATTTATGAGGGGGCGGGGAGGTGCAAAAAGGGGGTGGCATGTTAATTAATATTTAAAGCACTAAGGGTGTATTTATGATTTTTACTTTGGCCTAGGGGAGGGGCATACAATTTTAAATGGATGTATTTCGTATGTATTTAACCGCAGGTTTGGAAGGCGTGTTTTCTTGAAAAAGACAATATTACACCATTTATCACAGGAAGTGTAAGAAGTGAATTATTGTTGCTTTTTCAGTTTTCCAACAGTCTTCGGACCCATCATGTGTGACAAACGCTGTAAACATAACGTGCTTCAATAGTGACATTTCATCAAATTTACTTTGTTCTTTGTCTCATTTAAAATTTGTCCAAAAATTCAGATTTAGATTCAGATTCAGAATACTTTATTAATCCCCGGGGGGAAATTGTTTTTGCTCCAATGCTCCGTGCAAAGTAGAAATAGAAATACAGCATGAATGGAAACACGAGGTGAAAAGAGAGAAGGTAAAAGATGAAGATATAAATAAATACTAAAATAGACAATGAAATAAATAAATAAAATATTAAAGTAGACATTAAAATAAAATAAAAATAAAGTGTTTGTACAAGAGTGAAAAACTGAGGAACTTTTTCCAACTCCAGGGGTCGTATTCACAAAGCTTCCTCACACTAAGAGTCTCTTAAAGACAAGATTCTAAGAAAATTCTTAGAATTTTGACCTTTTCATGGAGTTTCTCCTTAAAGTTAAGACTGGGTCCTTGTCAAGATAAAAGTTATTCACAGAGCATCTTAGACATTAAAGGTTCTGGTTCTTGTTCAGAAACTTTTTAAAATAGATCCGCATTGCGCATTTTCCTACCATCCAAAACTTCAAAATGTTTCCTCGTCCGTTCAGAAGTGCGTCTTCTGCTTCTCTGCAGCCATGGTGTTTGTTTGTTTGTTTTCCCGGGAGTTACTGCGCTGCCGCTACGTCATCTCCTTCTTCTTCCGAGTGAAAGCCCGCGAAAGAAAAAGTGGTACATGCACAGAATGCCGAGTCCAACTTCAGTTGGACTAAGTGGCTACACGCTGCAATAATTTGATTTTCTCAAGCTGCATGTAAACGTACTGACTGATTGGTTGTTCTTGTTCATGTGAGGTGGATCCTTCCATGTGCCACTGGGAGCAGTGGAAGGATTTTTTCTACAGATTATCCGTGTCATGTACTGCTGTCAGGACAGAGTCACAGTTTCAGCAAATACGACAAAAACATATTTTTTTTAAAGTTACTAGCTGTAGCTTTAATGTTGTGTTCACGCTAAATGCAATGTGAATTTTAATGTTATTTGCGCAAGTTTGAACGTGAGAATGTTTTGTGTTGACACGCTTCATACATGTGAAATTGCTGAATCAATGAATGAACTTCTGCAGGTGTGTCCACAGTGAGTGTGTTTACAAGGTCTTTAGTATCCCGGTTTTGATTGGGTTTTTTAAGTATCCCGTTTTTGTGTTTGTGCATGTAAACACCATATCCCACATTCAGAAACCGGGTTATGCCCTTTCCCCGGTTTCAAGAAACCTGGTTTTGCCACCTGGAGTACTCCGATAGAAGCCGGGATACTGGAGCATGTATACGCCTTATCCCGGTCTCTGACGGCTGCCCGCTGTGTGCGCAGGCGCCGGAGTGACGCACCAGATATACAAGCAGCATGACGGCAACGAGAGCTTCCCATTTTTGGTGCGACGAAGAGACTGAATTTTGCCTGAAAATGATGAAAGAACTCAACATGACTACATGTTTAGACGGCAGAAGACACAGAAATGCTGATCTATTCAAGTCTGTTGTGGACAAGCTACGTGACGCTGGTTTTCCACCTCGCTCAGCCCACTAGAAGCCACAGACGTCTCATTTTTGTCTTACTTCTAAATATAATAAATATATCACATTTCCCGCTCAATCTGTTGTTAACAAAAGACATAAAAGACATAAGACACGCCTGCGCAGATAGGATGCAGTGATCAGAAAACAGGTTACTGGTATTTATCATGTATACAGGGATATGAATAACCGGGTTTCTCTGTGTTCCATGTAAACATCATATCCCGGATATGCTCAAAGCCGGGATACTAAAGACCTTGTAAACACAGTCAATGAGCACGTTTACATGCGCACAATAATCAGATCAGGGAATAATCAGGTAATGGTAATAATCCGATTTGACGCATTTACGTGCATTTCAATAATCTGATAATCAGAAAAACCTGGTTTACATGATTCAGTCCTTCAGTTGGATTTCTGCTCAAGTACATGACATAAAACTCAAACTTCCTGTTACAATAGATACTCATATCCTTGAAAAACCTTGAAAAGTACACAAGTCATATATTTGCAGAATAAAGCACTCATCATGCTGACAGCTTATATTCTTACAGTACTGTTTGTTTTTATCATTAACAAATACATGTGAGAGCATTCTAATGTGTAGTTTATCAATGTGGAGCCAGTTTTACATACTTTGGGTAGATTCGGAGTAAAAGTACTGCAAAGTGCAATATACAAGTGTATTGTATATAAACTTGTCACACAAAGTGCATAACATATAAGTAAGATAAAATAAAAGTGACAATTTAAACACTGAGAATATAAAAATATATTATTTTATGTAAAATCTTTATCTGAAAGGAAACAAAAACTGTCAGATTAACGTAGTGGAGTAGAAAGTACAATATTTCCCTCTAAAATGTTGTGGAGTGGGAGTATAAAATAGCAAGACCTGAAAGAAACCAGATTAAAGGGTATACATGCACCTAATAATCTGACTATTGGGGAAAAAGCTAGATGTGTTTATCTGATTTCTCGTAATCAGATAATGGCTTTTATCTGATAAAGCCTATCGGATTATGCTGTTTACATGACCACTTGAATAATCAGGTAACTCCAGAAATCAGATAATGATTGGTTTATTAGTGTGCATGTAAACGCGCTCAGTGTCTCACCTCACCGGAGGATTTCAATGCTGATTGGCTATCGTGGCACAAAATAGTCACTGAAGTTAAGATTTTTCACACCTTGGAAATAAGTGTATGGCATGACATCGTGCTACTGGCTTCATTTACACCGCTGAATTTGATTCACATCCTGTTCATTGCATCCATCATGCTGTCTGGTGGGACTAATCACGTCTTTACATTCACTTGTGCCAATTGTTTTATTTTTTTAATCATTTTTTGCCTTTAATTGACAGGACAGTAAAGTGGAGAGAGAGAGAGAGAGACAGACAGACAGACAGACATGCAGCAAGGGGCCACAGGCTGGACTCGAACCCGGGCCGCTGCGGCAACAGCCTTGTACATGGGGCGCCTGTTCTGCCACTAAGCCACTGACGCCCCGCCAATTGTTTTATTGATGCCTGGCGAGAGCACAAAATACTAGTGCTGATGATGACGATATATATTGATATATTGAAAGCTTTTGAAAAAGCCAATAAAGCCAATTTAGAAAAGAGTCAAGTCTTTGACTGTTGATAAAATAAAGTGGATGTAGTGATGAACTTGCTTTATTCTAAATCTCCTTCATCCCTCTTCATCACTCACACAGGTGACTTCAATTATCAGGTGTGTCGGTGTGTATGGACGGTGTCCAGCAGAGCTCAAACTAACCGGAACAACTTAAACACCTGTGTGAGTGTAAAGAGCCTTCACTACATGTTAAGTATTTACAGAGCAGGTGAGCTCTCCTCTACGGACTGTCACACAGGCGAATTCATACATCATATGGCTGAACTGTACATGAATCAAAATATCTAAATAAAATGTAATATAGTATAAATATCTTTTTGTATATTTTTTAAACAACTGTAGCTGATTACAATTACCGGTATATTTATATTATAATGAATTACATCCACTTATACTGAACCACACCCACCAACTGTATCACTGTGCAGAAGGAAACGTGCATCTGCTGTTAGCTGTTGGGAAGGTCACCTCTGAAATGTAACAGGGTTACAGATTACATGTGACCCTGTTTAAATGTAGTGAATTACGTAACTATTTTAATAACTTCATCAGAGTAATGTAAATTATTACATTTGATGCCTTTTTAAAAAACTTTCCAACAAGCGTTTTAAACTGGGAAATAAAACTGAAAACTCCAAAAAACATAAATGTAATCACAGTAAACCAGGCGGTGTGAACAACAGAACTCAACACTGATTACTGTCAAACTTTTATTAAGACTTCTTCAGTAAAATGAAGAATATGAAACTTCATATTTTACATGGAAGCTTTTTATCCCCCAAAATATATCTGAATGTCTTTGTAATCATCAACTCTTTGATGAGCAGCTGTAGTTTAATTACCTTTTTTTAACAACTGTAGTGGATTACACTTACATGTATTTTGTAATCTAATTAGGTAACTAGTGGGGCTGCCCTGAAAGTCAGAGATCTGAGTCATCAGTCAACTAAAAGTGTGTTTTTTTATTTGTCAGTGTGCTGTGCAGTGAACTCCTTGAGACATTTTGGTCCCCAGATTTTGCTGCAGAGTGAGCGCTCTTGATCTTCACGCTACCACACAGAGGAGGAGAAACTCTGCACCGTCAGGCTCTGAGATAACATCACCTTTACTTTCTGATTTACAGCTCCGATATTATGACTCACTCTCTGGCTTTTGTTAGAGATCTAGTATTTTAAGCACTTTTCTGATGCGTCGTCAGCGCCGTTAGCTTGTTTACGACATTACATGAATGTTGTTGAAACACACTGAATATCCTGTTTAATCTTTAAAACTTTACACGGAAAAAAAAAAATGAGTAGATGCACGCTTCCTTCTGTGGGCTGAAGGTCGGTAGAAAGAAAATAGTTCCTACATAACAAGGTCTGGATTATCTTGAGTAAGAGACGCTGATGTTGAGTTTTTCAAATGTATTTTTTTTTTGGCATTTTAAGCACCACATGCTGAGTGTCCTCTAGTTCCATTATACTGGAGAGAAGGCAGACATCTCTAGGCCGTTATCACCAACACTCTGTAACTCACACCAAAACTATCAGACTGATGAACAGCTCTACAGGTCAGAGGAATAATAGTATGTATTTTTGATTTTGTGGTGAACTGTCCCTTTAACTCTGGCTGTTGTGATCCCGGTCCCGCCCCCACAGACTTGACACCAAGGACACCAAACTGTACAAACGGTATAGAACAGTTTATTAAATTTAGACTTGTAAGAAGTCATCGTATTCCAACGCGCTCCATCGCATGAAGCGCATTCAAAATAACACCAACCCAAACGGATTGATCACGGCATCGAACATAAATAAAGCAAATAAACATATTTACAGTGGAACATGGACAGAAAACAGGGTGTGTGCACAAAACAGGCGACTACACATCCAGACAGATCGTTAGAGGTTCACAACGTGGGTCTGATTTTCAACTGAACTGTGGTCAGGAGGAGGAGGAATACAAGTCAACAAAAGACCTACAGAATCATCACATTTTCTTGGTTTGAGAGAGAAGAAGAGAATCTGGAGGAGAAAACACAAGTGTCGATGATGCTGACTTAAAGGTAGAAGGCTGACGAGCTACTGGAGGTGATTTAGGGTGTGAAAGTTTCCTTCTTTTATGCTGAAAATCCTCCACAAACATTCTCAAAGGACTTTTAGCAAATGTTCCAGATAATTTGTTCAGATAATTCAGGTGATTATGTAAAACAGTGATTTTACAAATGTTGTCAACACGTCAGTAACAGAACCCACGAACTGTAGTTCACAAACTTTCGTCTGAATTTGCAGCTCCAGTTTTCACATTCCCCCTAAACGCCATTATGGAACTTAACTTCCTGTTTCCACCTGTTACGGTGGAGTTCAGTCTGATTTAAACTCTGAGGAGATAATTCTACAACATGAATGACTCGTCTTCAGTGAGCTGAGAGGACGGACGGACGGACGGACGAACATCAGTTTGACTTCCTGTGTGAGACACAGTCGAGACTTTACAGTGATCAAAAAACCCTGAAGAAGAATCAAAAACTGCGTTTAGTAAAATAAAAAAAGAGAAGATCCTTAGAAAAGTACAATCATTGAAAGCACGTTACAATTAGCAGTTTGTGTGTGTGTGAAGTTACAAACGGGTCATGTGACTCTCCCAGCACTTCTTATATACATAAAACAATGCTCGTGTGGATCACATGACCAACATCAGGTCCAGGTCCCCAGCAGACGCCGTCGAGGGGATGAAACATCATCATCCTCCTGGCTAAATGCTATTTCTCTTCTTCACCGGAGGACCTCAGTGTGTGTCGTGCTTCACCGGGAACGCCAGCTGGGCGGGGTCGGAGGATCATGGGAGCACAATTTCGGATAAATGTGAGGTGAGTTATCAGTTACAGAAAAGTACACTTAACTGACGTTCAAATGGCACTCTGGTCCGGCGGGTTCAGCTCTGGTGCTCAGCGCAGGGTGAACCCTTTCCCTCCGCTCAGTACCCCGAACATGTGAAAACAAAACACTGAGAATCAAAGAGGTGACGCACCATCATCGGTCTCTGGAGGTCACACTGTCACATTCAGCTATGTGTTAATGGCAGAGATCGTCTCCTCGCTACAGGAAGTGTACCGACGCCACGCCAGGAAAACAACCAAAAACATCAGCATTAGGTAACAACAGGAAAAGCTCCTCGTTATAATGAGATGTTGTCATGTTTTTACAGGATATGTTCATGTTATAACAGGAAACTTTTCAATTATATCAAGATATTTTCAATTATATCAAGATATTTTCATGTCATAACAAGAAACTTTTCAATTGTAACAAAAACTTGTAGAATAAGAAACTTCTTGTTATATCAATATACTACAATATATTTTATCTTTTGTGAAACTTTTCTTTTTAAAACATAAAAAACATGTTGTAAAAACGTGACAACCATTTTGTTTTATCAGGAAACTCTTCACGTTATCACCTGATGCTGACATGTTTTTTATTTTCCTGGCGTGTCAGTGTCACACCTCTGTACCTATTTGTTCCTCTCCCACGGTATATTTCACACTATCTTACAGTTTCCTTATGAAAAGCCATTTACAAGCACCGGAGCCTTACAGTATGTACACATCAGTCCCACACGTCTTCTGATTCACAAAGAGAAAAGATATAAACACATTTTCCCTTCAGGTATTTACACAGATTAAAGAGGAGGTGTTGGAGAAATGATTGAGCACCTCAGAGTCATCGTGGAAATTTACACACTAAAAAAAACTGCTTCCAGGTACTGGCTTTAAGATCACAGACTCACACTCACCCCTTCACCTTCCTATCAGGTACATGCAGAAAGACAGAGGCTCAGCATCATTCATTCATCCAGAGGCGCTGCACGCCTCCTTCTAAAGGCAAATCATATCTGATCTGATTCATAAACTCTTCTCTGCGACACACATCACCTTCTCTTAAAAAAAAAAAAAAAAAAAAAAAACACGTAGGAAAAAAGAGAGGGTCTTTTTTGGTCTCCCAAATCAGGCATATCAGGTGTCAGAACACCGCTTAGTGCTCGTACCAGTGATCAGACTGGTCACCAGTAGATAGATGATCAAAGGCCCCTTTGGATCGTCCTCTTGGTTTGATACCTGAGGTGTGGCGTGGGTGGGTCAACACTGGCTGAATGTTGGGAGCGAGCAGCGCGTTCGGACCAGACTGGAGTCAGATCGTACGTTTAATAATTCTCAGCGTGTTCATTAATGACCTCAGAGCGAGGAGGATTATTTCATCACGTCAACATTTCAGAATCAATGAGCTGATCAATGGTTAGTCGACACTGAGCTGATGGACGCGGTCCGTCTGCTTCTCTAAGAATTATTTGTTGGTCGACTTGAGTCCAGTCGGGTCAGAACGTTACAGATCAGCTGCTGCTTTAAAATCTTCTTTCACCTGTAGGTGGGACTAAAATCGGGAGGAGGGCAGCATGTCGGTGTGCGGAGACGTAACGGCATGTGTGTGAGTAACAGGAACAGGACGTTATCTCGCTGCTCTGAAGCCACCAAGGTAACTTCCTGTGGTACAGAGTCTGAGGCAGTGTGCGACAGCAGGCGGGGGTTGAAAGGGAAACAGCAGGGATTGAGGGGGCGGGGTTACATATTGCGTCACGGGACTTTCAGGTAGTTGATGTCTGGCGTGAGGGGCGGCCCATGGACGAGGCGCTGTAGGTGCGGGAGCGCTGCCTCATGGCCAGTCGGCACGGCAGCTCCAGCTCCTGGAAGAGAGGAGTCCCTGTGATGTCAGCGGCCTCGGGGCGCTCGGCGGGGCTCCAGGACAGCATGCTGCGCACCATGCTCAGCTGCACACACACACACAGGAAACACAGAGTCATGTTACAGAGATGCTACGGCTAATCCAGCAGAACCAGCAAACAGTGCGACATTAGTGCTAAATTACACTCAGATAAAACACGACATAAAACATTCTGACAAACAAAAGTTAGGAGTGGACGATATATCGATTATACTCGATGCATTGCTTTGGTGTTTTGGCGCTCTCACCCCTCCACACAAGTCTCCTGGACGATAAAGTGTGTGAGCATGTGAGGTGTGTGTTTGTATCAGCAGATTGCGGCCGTTTAGTTCCATTTTTCGACCATGGAGCACCAGTGAGAGATTATTCATCTGTGACCTGTAGAGCTGTTTGTTCTTCTCCTGCTCACTGTGAATAAATCCTCGTCGCTGTGATGGTTTAACTTCCTGCCAACTGCTAACTGTTGACCAGAAGCTTTAAACATGTACACTTCCTGCCCGAGATAAGCCGGGTGCTTCAAAATAAAAGCACCAGTGGTTCCAATTTCACTAAAACAAAACTAAATTAAACTTTTTTGAAAGAAACTTCAGAAAGAAAGAAGAAACGTCATTCAAGCAAAATTTATTATTTATTTTTTTTCTAACAAAATTTTCTTTAACTTAATTTAAAAAAAACTTTATTTAAAGTCATTATAACAAACTTTATGTAACTATTGTAACAATTCATTAATTAACTTTATTAAGACGTCATTTTATTTAACTTTATTGTAAAAGTACGTTATCTAATTAGTTTTAATAAAACTTTATTGTAACATCACTTTAACTTTATTATAATAGTACTTTATTCAACTTCCTTGTAACAGTACTTTACTACTACTTTATTCTAAGAGTACTTTGTTTAACTTTATAGTAAGAGAAGTTTGTTTAGTATTTCAGTGTTCTACAGTAGTTTAGAGGAGATTTCAAAATATTCAGATTTATATTGTCCATAATGAAATGATCTGAAAATACTGCGATATTATTTAGAGGACATATTCACCCAGCCCTGTCACACACTCATGTACTGTAGCACAGAAGCATATTTTCTGTCTCTGTCTCTCTGTCTGTCTCTCTGTCTCTCTCTCTCTCTCTCTCTCTCTCTCTCTCTGTCTGTCTCTCTCTCTCACACACTCACACACACACACACACACACACACACACAGTACAGGACATCTTAAAATAGATCAGTGCACGTCTCGGTCAGTGGGATACTGGGATGACAGAGGGGGCTGAGGGGATTTCCAGTGTTGGAGAATCACAGATTATTCTTTGGGATTATGTTAATCTCATTACACAGTAAACAGGTAAACAAGGTAAACAAACTTATCACACTCCGCACAGACAACATTAGGCAGAACATAAACCTCTGACTGACACAGAAATAAAACCTGAGATGGAGATTTACTTTATCTGATTTACTGTTAGATGAAAGAAGAGTTCAATTCCTCCTCCTTATGATATGAAATAATTAATTTGTTTACTGTTTGTTTTATGTTTACAGGGTATTAGTGTTCTTCTTACTTAAATCTTTTTATCTTTTATCATTTATTTTATCTTCTTTATTTTAGAGTTGATGGTTAAATGAACGAACATCCTGTAGTCCACCTGTAAAGATCTCGTACAGCGTGCAGAGGAAACCAGCACAGTATGAAGAATTACTGAGCTCTTTTTCTGTCCTCATAATCATTATTATTATTATTATGACCCCCGGCTGGAAACTCCTCCTGTGCTCTGCTTCTCTATTTAACACTGTTTCATTCCACTTTATTATCACCAAACTAACTCTGTTGTAACGGTGCTTTAATGAACTTTATGATAAAAGTAATCTATTTAACTTTATTGTAGCTGAGCTGCAGTGTTTTATTTAACTGTGCCACACCAGTGCTGTGGGTTTGTGTTGGCAGCTCGCTCTATGTTTGCTTCTGTTTGTCTTTCTCATGTGAATTTCTTTAATAGAAAAATGGCAGTTTTGAGTAAATAAAATTTTTTAAATACATTTTTATATAATATTTAATATTATTTGAACATATGGATAATCAAATTCTAATGGGATTATAGGTACAAATTAGGGATGCACCGAAATGAAAATCTGTGGCCGAAGCCGAAGCCAAATAATATTAAACACTTGGCCGAATACCGAGTACCGGATAGCTAATACCGTTGTTTAGTTTTTCATTAGTTTTTGCAGATGAACCCTCCAGATTAGTGTTGTCACGGTACCAAAATTGGATCCCACTGTACGATACCAGTGAAAGTATCATGGTTCTGAGTAGTATCAGGATACCACAGCGAAAATGAGGCAGATGTGCCTTTTGTCATTTATAAAAAGATAAATCACTTTTCTATAATACATCAATGATATTTCAATGGAATAAATTACTTATTGACTTATTCATACTTCAAAAACAGCATCAATAAGTGATTAACATAGGGGGGATCAAAATAAAATAAATAAATAAAATAAGAATCAACCAGCCACCCTCCTCCCCTGACAAGTAAAGAACAGTCCCTAAAGTGCGGTGAGGTTTGTGGGCCGTGAACGGCTCGTTCCTCCTCTGACACGTCACATACATGTGTTCGGCTGGCTCGGCTGTTCAGGTACTTCTGGGCAGTCCACACACCAAGAAGAGGATATTATTGGAGCCGACTTCTCCGTCGCCCGGTAAGCCGATGGCCGCCGTATTTGACAGGAATACATTACTGTCTGTGTCTGTGACCCCCGTTCAACCCACAATCGGTGGGATTCGCCTTTCGTTTCTGCTGCTGGTTGAAATCTGTAGGCTGCTCGCACAGTGTGCTGAATGATTTAAGCCTATTTTGCTCGCTCAAAACTATTTTTAGTCGCAAATGGGAGTGCGGTGACAGGCGGATCGCCACACTGCCGACATTTTAATCCGCCGTCACGGCACGCTGTTTGATTGCGTTATCAAAACACGCCGCTATTATTCAGCCTTGCTTTTAACTTATTCCACCGAATACCGAATGTGTGTTTTTTTGCAATATTCGGTTACCGAATATATTCGGCGCACGGTGCATCCCTAGTACAAATTATACTTATAAATCATGTTCATAAAACAGTCTCAGAAAAAATGCTGCTACTTATATTTTAGTAATAATAATAATAATAATAACTTTGCCTTTAAAAACAGAGTTTACAAAGTGTTTTGACAAATAAAGCAAAACAGAAGCAAGAAACCTCTGAGGCAATAAAATAATAGAAGCCAAAAAATGATGCCGACCTAAGTCCAGACATAAATTAAAGAAGAATTAAATGAAGGATCAGACACACAAACATGTTAGAAAGACGGCAGATGATGGTGAGAAAAGAAATTAAATCAAAACTAAATTAATTAAATAAAATAAAACACAAAGAATAAAGGCAGTAAACACTGAATATTATTATTAATAATAATAATAATGATAAGCAGGACAAAGACAGAATAAAACATAAATTAAAGGACGACATCACATAAAAGCGAGTCTGTAGAAAATGGTTTTTAAGAGGTGATTTTAAAGGTCACTGATTCTGCGAGAGTTATGTCTTCGGGCAGGTTGTTACAAAGCTGAGGGGTCCTGACGGCAAAAACACGGACACCTTTAGATTTAAGCCTCGACTCTGGAGCGATCAGTGGGGCCCTACCTGAGGCTCATATGAGGTCAGCATCTCTGTTGTGTAGTTTGGGGCCAGACGAGCTTTAACAGTGATCCGTGAAATATTAAAATAAACTCTAAAATGAACAGGAAGTCAAAGGAGAGACGCCAGGAGAGGAGTGATGTGATGCCATCTGGTAAAACCAGTCCCAGTTTAATATAATATTTACATATTTAGATGTAGATTTTTTATTAATATCCTGTTGATTTAAGAGCAAAATAATCCAGCTACACTTCCTGACCGGATCAGCTGATCAGATCGGAGTCACATGTTGGTGTGGACGAGTCATTTAAAGATTACATGATGAGAGTAAACTGTCTCCGCTCTGTGTGTTTCCCTCTTCGTTCACTCTCTCAGGATGAACATGTTGTCATGTCTCAGTTCAGCTGTAGTGTGTAGTTGGAGCCACTAGGTGGCAGCAGAGGGCCACTCACCTCCTGCACGTTGTTTTTGGAGAAGACCTCAGGGAAGCGCAGCGCTCTCACCTCTGTCAGCGTCTGGAAGAAAGGATGTAAACACCTGTGAGCGTCTAATCAGGTCCCTTTGTTCCCGAGACAAAGGCGTCCCGCTCGATCGCACACACACACGAGGGCGAAGACAATCCACCGTTTAAACCCACGACAATAGTGAGGATGTGTCACAGTTTCCCTCCAGAGTTTCACACAATACAGAATAATGAACTGAATAAAAGACGCACGGCCTCATTAGGACGTCTGTCTGTCCTCCTGCAGCAGCCGAGGGTCGGACTGAAGACAAACATGAGATCAGACTGATTTAAATCTGATCAGTCTTTAAATGATCCGAGAGTTTGAACTGCTTCTAAATGTTTAACAGATCAGTTCAGGGGAAATGTTACCTCCTGTTCATGTTCGTTGCTCTGCTCACAGTCGTTTGTCTTAACTGAAGTTTGATTTCTTTTATGCTTCACAAACTGATGTGTAACTGGAAAATACAAACCCATCTAAACTGACTGTAATAATCATGTTTAACAGTTATAAAAGCTGAGTTTAAGGGTGATTTATCGCCATCTAACGACCCTTCTGGGGACTGAATCAAAGCTGTATGTGCTGACTCACCCTCACTCTCTCCATCTGCGTCCTGAAAGGATACAGCAGCTCGAACAGGATCAGACCCAGAGAGTAAATGTCCACTTTGTGAGAGTACGAGTTTCCAGAGAGCTGCAGGGACGAAAAGGACGGGACAGGATTTAGGACATGAAGATTTAAAGTGATAAAGTCTCAGAGGTGGGAGACATGTACAGCAGCTTTGACATGAAGTTTATTTTTAAAGTTTATGTTTAATGTTCTGGTGAAAATCAAATGAACTATTTTTTTTAAACAACTTATTTTTATTAGAATTCAATAAAGACATATGGAGCACCCTAGAACATTAATGAACCTGTGTGACATCAGGAGGGGAGCGCAGCGTGTTTCATTACAGTTTTTCAAGTTCATTTTTCACTCACCTGCTCGGGGCTCATGTACAGTTTGGTGCCCACCTGGCCCGTGTGCCGGGTCAGGAGCGGGGCGGGCGTCAGAGCGCTCGGCTCGTCCTCATCTTCCTCCTGGTCCATGGCCGTCACCAGGCCGAAGTCTCCCACCTTCACCACGTCGTCCATCGTGAAGAAGATGTTGGAGGGCTGAAGGAGTGACTATGACAGGTTAGAGAACATGTACCGAACATTAAAGCACAGGAAGGCAGAGAGTGTTGCTGACGCATGAACCTGTCGACACTATCAGACCGTATCAAATAAAAGTTTTTACACATTGGCAGGAAGAGATTTTAACAGAGTTAACAAGCCCCTTTTTCACACCGCTGCCTCACCGTGCTGTACATGAGGTACAGTTTAGTTTATTTTATCTGTGCGCAGCTGTCGGCCTGAGAGTCACCTAACAAAGATTTAATGGTAATAAAGTGTCTTGTGTGTGTGTGTGTGTGTGTGTGTGTGTGTGTGTGTGTGTGTTCACCTTGAGGTCCCTGTGCATGAGGCCCTTGCTGTGCAGGAAGTCGACAGCCTCTGCGATCTGGACGAAGATATCCAGACACTGGTTGTGCTCCCTCTGCTCCGTGAGGCAGCGCTGAGCCATCCAGTCCTTCAGGTTCTCCTTCCGACAGAGCTGCATCTGGATGTACAGGTACACCTGGAGACGAGAGGACACGTGTCAGAACATTACGATCTTATGTATGACATCAGAAACTAAGAATTCATTTCAGAGGGAGAAGGGGGCAAAACTTTATTTTACATTAGGCTCATCACAGCCGACTGAGTAAACGCCTGACTGACCTTTGGCGATGGCTGAACTCTCTGAGTCGGAGGAGTCGTTGGGAGAGCCAGTGTGAGTGAGGTTGGCCGAGGGGGAGAGGAAGAGGAGGGCGGGACAGATTCCTGTCGTCTGGTGCGTGAGGAAGATGAGCTGTTCTTCTCCGTCGTCGTGCTCGGGCTGGCTACGCCGGAAGCCGAGTCTGTGTCTGCGTCGGCGTCTCGGTCGCAGCCCGAGTCCTCGAACACGATGTCAAAGGAAGAAGAGGTGCAGTCGCTGGGGCCACGTGGGGGACACAGCTCGAAGGAGTGGGGGGTGTCTGAGGCGTCGGGGTCGGCCTGGCTGTCCCTCTCAGACATCAGGCTGTCGTGGCCCAGCAGCGGGTGGAAGGACAGGTCTCCGTCACCAATGCTGAAACCCACAGCACCGCTGGCGCTGCTGGAGAGCAGAGCCTGTGCGTCGACGGAGGCCTCCAGGACGTCTCCTCCAGGTCCAGAGGAGGGAGACACTGAGCTGGACACGGGGACTTTGACTGACAGCGCCTCCATGTGGTCGAGGAAGCTCATTGGCCAGTCGGTGGTACTGAAAGAGGGACAGAGGAGGGATGTTGCTGCCAAGTTTGATACAATCAAATAAATATGACGTCAATATGGATAACTGTACAAGTGTCTTATAAAATAGTTCAAAACAGTTCACAAAATTAAAACAGTTGAAAGTAGACAAACAAAAGTAACAAGACGTCAGGCGGCGACCACGATTATACCGACCACACACGAGAAGACTGACGAGACTTTTCAAAGACTGAAGTGTGACAGCCTCTCACATCTAAACTTCATGTTTATAGTTTGGGATCTGTCAGGGTCACTGTTCAGACTACAACTAGATTCTCTCTGAGATTATTCCCCGTCCTGCTCCTGGTGGAAAATATGACATATTTACAATTCCTTACATGCCCACAAAAACACAACTCTAGTCCAGTCTTAAAAATAGCCATGCTGTAAGGCTCACAGAAAGTTTGCTGACCACTGCTAAAAAATGAATTGTCTTAAAATCGAAAGTTAATGTCCCCCTCCCAATCCATTATGGTTTTCTGAAATCATCAGCTGTACACCCCTTGAATACAATAACTTGTTCACTGAGAAGTAAAAAATAAAGCAGCTCTTTGTGAATCAAATGGAAACTTGTCATCAAATCAAACCGACTGTGTCTCTGTGTCGTCTTATTGTATTGAGGATGTGTCGAACCATGTGATCCCTGATGTTGCCCATTTTGTTTACATCGATAATTGTCGTCATTTTGCACTTTGTTTATTCGATTTAATTTTGGCTTTGTTTATTGTTTACTGTCTTGTTTACTTCATATTGCCGTTTGATTGTTATATGTTGTTTATTAATGCTTCAAAATGTAAAATGAAATAATAATAATAAAAAAAAAAGATGTCTCAGTAAAATCAGCTGATTGATGGATCAGATGATTGATGAACGCAAACTCTTGTTCGCTCCACAGCTCCACCAGTTTCTCCTCCTTTAACACACAACAAGAGAACAGAGACTTCATGTTCTCGCTCCTCACCAGAGTCTCCTCCATGTTTACTGTCTACAGGGTTTGCTGCTTCCTGTTTGATGCTGGAGAGATGCTGCTATTGGCTGTTGATGTTCACGTCACCGAAAACTAGTTTAATATTGAACATGTTTGATTGTGTTGTAACATCAAAACAAAACAAAACAAAAAACCTGCCTTATAACGGCTCAGACTGAGTGTTATGACCACTTTGCACCAAACGATTGAGATCGTGGCGGGCGCTCCAACCAGCTGAGGTAAAACTTGTGAATGTATTCTGACACTGAACGTTTGTATGCGACAGAGGAACTGCTTGAAAAGTCATCTGGTGTGAGGTCGGCATCAGAGTTCATTTTATTTACTGTGTACCAGCTTGGTGCTTGGAAAGAGAAAGATGATGATGATGATGATGATGATTGTCTCTGAGCTACTTTTAGCTCTGATCTGCAAATCTGAAAATGCATTTTTCATCCACTGGCATTTAAACATCTGATTTAATCAGCCAGTAAAGTGATAAGTAATAATGTACAATTAAAGTCCTAATAATCTTCCTCCTGAGTGGATTGTATTTCTTAGCGTGGCACCCATCTTGGACAGCTGACCACTGGCCGTGTACAGTATAACAGGTGTAAAAGCTGCAGCTGACCTGGCGTCTTTCAGCCACCTCTGGTCCATCTCCTCCTGCCAGCCCTCGGGGGGGCTCTCCTGCCAGGCGTTGAAGTAGCGGATAATCCCGGGATGCTCCAGCTTGGCCAGCGCCTTCACCTCTCGCATCACCTTCTCACGAGCCAGCTCTCTGTAACACGCAGAAGCAAAAGCTTCAGGGTTTAATTCACAGTCAGGAGAAAACACTTTGTCTTTTATCAGTAGATGGTCTCAGATTATCAAGATCTGAAGACGCTAATACTCTGAACTCCTGATGAGACTTTGCTGTTGCCGATACAACAAAAGGGTCAAAAAGTGTTTCACAAAAACACTGAGCGTAAAAATAATTAACAGACTAGTTTGTGTGATGTCACGGTCAATAGCAGGACTGCATTAAAAATAAAAGCAGTGCTGCTGTGTCTACATGTACATGCCTGTCAATAGACGCATTGCTAATATTTGTCCCTCTGTGTGTTTCCTGTGTTCAGACACATCGGCTGCAGCTCACATAAGTCAATCTGACAGAGATAAAAGAAGAGCCAATCGCCTCCAGAGAGCACGTGTGTGTTGTGTCCAGCGAGAGGTGCTACCTGTTGGGCAGACGGATCCTTTTGATGGCGTAGTTGCAGTCGTCCACTTTGTTGCGGGCTTCAAACACAACGCCGAACCCCCCGCGGCCGAGGCACTGCACTGGCTCAAAGTCAGTCAGGTACCTGCGGAGAGGAGACACTCTGATTGGTTCATTTAGCAGAGAAGAGTTGCTCCGCTCTCTGTGGTTATCACCTGCACGTCTGACTGTTTAAAGACCTGAGATCAGACGTTCACTGTGGTTTATGAAGAGTTAACAGGTGATCACAGAGAGAGATTATTACCACACAAACCTCAGTGAGAGCTGCTGAGCTGGCAGGAAACAGTGAAACAGTATCATTAATACAGACTGATGATGTGCTGACAGAAAAACACTCAGCTGTCAGGAGGCCGAGACTCAACTCTGAACTTCCTGCTGAATAAACTTAATTAAATAAAGAGTTTGTAAAACTAAAAGAGAATAAAACATCTAGACTCAATTTTGTTTTGTGTCACTCAACAATTCAGCAGCAAAATTCAGTCGTAAATTTGTTGTCCACAGTTGTGAACATGCTTTAAGAATGTTTTCAGTAAACAGGCTCGACTGTATGTAGGAAACACCGATTGTGAAATTCTAGGCCACAACAGATGTTAAAAATAAAATTTAGTCAATACTGACATTTTCTGGTTTTTGCTTATGTTGTTTTTGTTGTTATTTACTCCCCTTTTGGTGCCAAAAGACACAAATAAAATCTTCACTATTAAAAGAGTTCAACCATTAAAATATATGAAACAACTTTAACGTAATCCTCTTTCACATCCTGCGTTCAGACGCCTTGAACAAGTGTTTAAACCTTTGAAACCTGGAAAATAAAATCGGCTCTATTACTTTCAAAAAGAACAAGAAACTGGTCAAATGTGAAAACAACCTGAAAATTAGTTTATTAAAAAGAAAGAGAGAGAAATTTATTAGAAAATTATCTTTTTAAAAAAGGAGAAATGTCAAGAAAACTATATTTATGATTTGTATAATCACGTTTTATTTGTTTTTCACTTACTTAATTTTCAGGTAATTTTCTTGTAACTTTTTACTATTTTTCATTTCCTGATTTTTGGGTCATTTCTTGTAAAGTTGCTTGTTGCGTCCTTTCCATGTATATATATATTTTTTTAAAGAAATCAAGTCAGTTTGTTCGGGTTTCAAAGAGTTAAAAAAACTTTTACACTTTTTAAAAATGTTTCATGTTACATTTCTGCAAATTAAAAACAGAAGAAAAAACAAATTAAGATGATATAAAACGTGTATAAATCATGTGTGTGTATATCTATGTCATACGGGGGGTTGTTTGGTTCAGTCAACAGGTTTGGGACTCGCCGCTCTCCGCCCCGTCAAAGAATCCCTGCTCAGTTCTCCTCGGGGGATTGAAGGCCGTCGTATACGGCGATGTGTGGGCACGTGTGATTCCTGATCTGTCTCCTCCTGATGATCCTGACTCATGTTTGCTTCAGCTGCTGCAGCAGCCACCGGTTTTATTTAAGGACACGGTGAAAGCAATGTGCACGGACTGCAGCAGCAGCTTCAGAGGAGCGAGGAGGAGGAGGGCGGGTGTTTGGCGTTTTAGGGTGGATCAGAAGTAAAGAATGTGCCAGTGATGACAACAGGAAGAAGAAACACCAGTTTAATCAGATTCCTCTCGTGTTGGGGGGGTTAGAGGACGTAAACATGTAAACTCCATCGATCAGACGACAGGCGGTCACTGACAGCCCATAAATTACGTCCTCTGATCAGATTTGGGACGTCCAGAGGAACAGAAGTTGTGACAATGTGCTGACGGTGATGTAAAGTGACACTGCGACCCCGCGGCAGATGCTGCTGGGTGGGGGAGGGGTCTGCGGGGGCCAAGGTCATTTTCATTTGATGGCAAACAGCTGAGTTATCCAATCATGCACTACTTCGACTCGTATCTCCCATCTCTGCCTTGTCCTATCCAAGCAGGCAGGAAGACCAGTGGTCACCATGGTAACAGTGCCGAATCTGTAGCTACACCTTGAAAGAGTGAGACTCGAGGATAACACAGCAGCAGTGTGTCCTCAAGTTCTCCTGAGTCATGATCAACAGTGTTTACAGAGCGTGTTCAGCCTCAGTGTTTACACAACGCACCTGGACACATATTCACTGGAGCGGGTCTCCATGGCAACAGGCTCTTTGGATTCCACAACCTCAAGGTCAAACTTGCAGTCGGTCTGGCACTGTGTCTCCGACTCTTTCCGCTGCTGTGAGGGACAGAAGAGGACAGCAGAGGCACAGGGAGGACGTCAGAAATGTTAACAAACAGGATTAACTCCAGGTGCATTCTGGGTAGTTTTTCTAAGAAAAAGACTGAACAAGGTGTGTCATGTACTGAACCTCTGTGATAAAACATTCCTGTAAAAACTATGTACTAATGTTAAAGAAGTTTTTCACGGAAGAATCACCAGTTTTTATTCCACTTTAAAGAGACAGCAGAGTCTGTCACAGTGTCAATAAGGGCTGTCGGTGTTAAGACGTTAATCAGGATGTGATTAAGGTCCAAACATAATCACATTAATCGTGTGCTGCTAGTTTGACTAATCAGACTGATGTCAGCGGGCGACCACATCACCACAGACTGCAAAGAACTTGTTAGGAGTGAGCGAGTCACCACAGACCTGAGGATCAAACTAAATCTAAGAAGTTACTACAGCGCTGACTGCAGACCTGCATTTACAGTCCTATGTTTGATTTATCCTGGCTTCATAGGAGTCAAGAGAAACTCAGCTAGCTGCTAGGCTAATTTATACAATGTAAAATGCCATAGGCTTGTGCTAATAACGTTAGCATGTTGTATTTGTGGGGAAAATGTGTCCAGATAAAGACAAGTGTTTGTCTGTGAATGCTGCGAGTTATAGTGAAGCTGATTTGTGTTTGAAACTGTCTCTATTAAGCCATGTTTAATGTGTGTTTACTGTGTGTTTACTGTGTGTTTAATGTGTGTTTACTGTGTGTTTAATGTGTGTTTGAATCAGTCAAACTCTGCCACCAACTAGTGACACAGACACACCACTACACAAGTATATGATATATTAAGGGGGCGTCTTCAGGTCGACATGTTGTCACCAGTCATTTGTCTTACCGTCTAGTCGTCTTAATCTATAAGTCACTATCACAAAGTCAGTTTCTTTGCATTCATTTGATTTCCAATGAAAACACTCTGGTAAGAATTGTTTCACTTTGTTAACATGAACTTCAAAACTGTTTAGAAATGCAAAATAATAGAATTTTAAACAATTGAAATTACTGGAATAAAAACAATATTCATTGGACAGCTCTACTGTCATCACTACATTGAACTTAATCTCTTTAACTATCCAAATTAAATTAAGTACATTCACGGACATGAATGTGACAATAAAGTTTGTTCAGTGACATTTTGAGGAAAGAATTTCTGATGGAGATCCATGTGCAGTCTAGACTTGTCACATTACTAATGTTATTGACTTATCATATGATATATGGACGTGACCTTGATCATTTTGCTGACCTTGATGATGCCTGTTGTGTTGTTTTTTTTTAACATAAAAATGTCACCAACATTTTAGCCAAAATGACGCCAGAATAAACAGCACGGTTTTTCTGAATATCTTAAGATGTGGGCGCAGAAAGTGATAGCCCATTTTTCCCATCATCTCTTCATCGCCCGCTTGCACAAATCCAATTAAAACTCTGACCTCACTTCAAAGACGACACAGTGCAGCTCACCAGTAGCCTGCAGCTGCACTTCTAAACTGAAAGACACAGTCCTGATAGTCGTTAGTTCACCAGCCCCTGCAACGAGCTAAAAAGTCTGTCGTCTGTAGTTTCACCCTCCAACAACTTCATTTTCCGCTCTGTAAATCTACCAGCAAACTGCCGGCTCCGAGGACGTCCGTCCCCCGAGAGCTGACTGCAGCACAGCAGACAGATTCTGGAGCTAGCTGCGGCGTTGTTGGAGCTTCACTAAGCTTGTCTTTTAGTCACAAGAGGCATCCCTTGGTTTAGATTTTTATTTAGTCTCAAACTGAATATTTTTGGGGCAACTCTGATAAAAGTTGCATAATTTTATCTATATTTATTACATATATATTTACGGGTTTAATTACCTTTTTAAAAATATGTTAAATATTGTTTTCATATTCTAATAAAAAAGACAGGCCTCTGAATCATGGTGACGAAGAATCATCTGATATGTGGAAGCTGGTTTTTATACCGTGCTCTAGTCTCAGAAGCTGCACGTTTGCAGAGTCTTAACATTAACATGTGATATAAATAACCAGCAGCAGTCACTGTCTGTGTGTTGTTCCTGCTGCAGGCCGCGGTCTTACCCTCACATAGGCCACAGGGGCGGGAGGGTGGAAGAATTTGCGGACGATGTAGGTGGTGGCGGCGATGCAGAAGACGATGGTGCCGAGGATCTCCTTCCACCATGGCAGCAGCAGCACGGGGTCCTTCCTCCTGCGGCTGTCACCCCCTGCACCGTTTCCTTTTATCAGGCTTATGGCACTTTCACGTTTCTCCCGGTAACGCTTGCTGTAGGGGAAGTAGTATCCGTTGTCTACGGAGAGAAGAGCAGAAATCTGTCAGTGGGGTTCAGTGGGTTTTAATCTCTAAGGTTCGCTCCAGCGTGTCTGTGTGTTCAGGATTTTATTATGGTCTTTATGTTCAGTGTCTGGTTCTTACCATACGGATACTGGAGGATGGACAGGGCTCCGTTGCTGTACTCGTCATGGGAGAACTTGTCATTATTCAGACACTTGTCAAATTCATGGGAGCCGACCAGGGCTGGTGTCCGAGACGGGGAATCTGTGTCAAGGACGAGATGAAGAAGTTCTTTGATCTCAGTTGAACGAGGGATCAAAAGAGTCGGAATAACAATCACAAAGATCGTCGTACGTTGAGGGGAATGGCGACGACGCTCTGAGCAACAAATGAGCCCAAAGGCCACTAATTTATTCAGATATATCCGACACACTTTGTGTTCAAAGCAATAACACAAAGCCAGTCTTCGGTCGCTGCTTTCCCCCATCACAGACTGTGGTCCTTTGGTTATTAGTAGGCACGTCACAACACCAGAAATTTATTGGTCGATAACATCAGTGAAATTACAGGATTATTAATACCCAATACTACAGTGAGAAACAAAAACTAATCAATAAATCTAATGTACTTAAACAAACTCTCCTTTATTAAAGTTAATGTCCATTTTATTATCATTAATCTCTGATGATCTGCCTTGAACTTAAAGTACTAGTCTGTGAGGGGTGACGAAATATTCTGGGCGAGGAAATGTTTATTAAAATACAGCCTACAATATATTAACGAATTTCCTCCTCCATTGTTGTTGTGTTCAGCTCTTGTATGTGTGAGATGTGACAGTTAGTCTTTGTGGTCGGTTATTTGTCCCGCCCTTCCTCCACTGTGATTGGACGACGAGGTGAAAAGTGACGAGCACAGTGCTTTAAAGTTGAACATTTTTAAACTATCGAGAAATTATCGAGATTACCCAGCAGCACATTTCAATGACTTCAAACATGAGATCTCATCATTTAGGATCCGGAGAACTGAAGTTACTCAGCCAGAGAGGTGGGAACACTGAGGAGAAGTACACTGGATATTTAATCTGCAAACTCCGTCTCTCAGAGGATTAAATGATGAAACACTATGACATGTTGTGCTATAACAGAGTCTGGGATCTCAAAAGACCAATTTATAATCTACTCTAAACACGATCACAGTGTTGAACACTGTGAATGATTTATGAAAGTTGCACAGCCAATGTGTTCGTTCACAAGATCAGAATTTTTTGTAAATAATCTTGTAAAAACACTTTGTTGTGTGAGGAGCCTCAGGTTTCTAGGTTTTCCTTGTTTTCTTTCTTTTATGGGGTATGTAATGTGACGTGTGGCGCGCAGGTTGTTGTCGATTATTGAGAAACACACCCACAGCTGACTGCGCACATGAGATGGGTGGAGCAGTATCCATTTAAGATCAGTGTTGTAAAATATGAAGTTGAACACTCTTGACAAAGGTCCTGTACAACTGAAACATTCGTATAGCTAATAAATTGCGACGCTGAGCAGAAGCAGTGTGCAGGATTTCTGTTCAAAGACTAAACTCCAGAGTTGAAACCATAAAAAAACGCCTGCTATGCGCTTTGTCACGCTGCTGATGTTTGTAGCAGAGTGTAAATATGTGGTGCTCCCATTGCAAAGAATAAACAAAGTTAGCCTGCCTCAAAGAACACCTTTCTTTTCTTAACAGTTTGAGGCGTAGCTGTCGCTGCACTTATCATCATTGTACACGTGTTGTTGTTGTTCCGTGCTGGGAGGCGTTCTTCTTCATCTTCCTTTGGCATTTAACGGCAGACGAGAACACTTGTAAGCAAATATGCTGCCCGTCAGCTCCAGAGGAATTTCTCAATCCGACCTGCGGGGTTTCGGGCTTGGTCAGGCTGTAATTTCTCAACATTTCCCAATTTTTCTCATTGATTCTCAGAGTTGAAGCGTTATATTTCTAAATGAATCAACGCACGGTTATGTTTCACTGCTCTGTCTCCAGATTACACTCTGCTGCTGAGACTCTGGTGCTCTGATCTGAACTGTGTATTCCAACAGCACCATGAATTTACAAACGGTCCAGTTTGTGCGAGAGTGTGCTCTGGTGCTCAGAGTGGCTGTTTACGAACGCATCCCGCATCATAAATGTCTGTTACTATACTGAAAAGACCTTAGTTGACTTATGTTTGTCATAAATGTTTAAATGTTATTATCATTACTATTTTTACAGTAGATTTCGGGCAAAGAATTGCTTCTGTGTTTCAGACTCTGGACAAGCTTGGACAGAATCCACATGGGTTCATGTTGAGTCGAATCTGATCACAGCTGTAATTCCCAGTGCTGCGGTGCTGAAGAAAAACAAGTACTGCGATGCTGTCACAATTTTGGCAACAACTTGGTACCGAAGCATCAGTTCTCGTGACATCAGTAGTAATAAGACACAGCACTTGATGACTGAGGAGGTGTGGACTTACGGACTAGAGGCTTCCATTTGACCGTTGGCAGTGGAATGATGTCCTTCTCCGATCCGATAGCTTTGGAAGGGAACTTTTCACTGATCCTCACTGAGGACTGGAGGTAGAGCTGTCCCTGGAACATCCCTGATAACAAAGTGCACAGGAGTTACACATGCATAAGATACACTCATATACGACTGGAGAGGGTTTGTGCTGAAAGAAAAGTCACAGAAAGACCAAATAACGTGACTGAATGTCAGGAATGAGAACATCCATGCAGTGTATGAGTTTACCGAGGTAAACACTGGATTCCTCTTCTCCTCTGTTCTGCTTGGATTCGTCGTCGTCATCCTCTTCATCGGTTTCCGACTGGTTGCTGTAGGCATTGTCGTCAAACAAGGTGATCGGCGTGACTTTGCCCCCGCCCACCAGCCAAGCCGAAGCGATGGGAGTGCAGAACTACACAACACAGGTGGCACAGAATGAGATGACACACTGCACCGAACTGAATTCACACCAATAAACCACCACATGACGCTAACTCTTCTTCTTCTCTGACAGGTTGTAATGTCTCACCTGACGCTCCCACACCAGCTGCCCGTCAGGCTCCGTACTGAAGGCCATGACCTTCCAGTCAGGGACAGACACTTTGATGACGAGGTCCAGGTTCTGGTTCTGATTGTTCTCTGTGTGCTCTCGATCTTTGGGTTCATCAACGATGACCCGCTGACTCTCCCTCCAGGGCTCACCACCAGCAAATTCTCCCTCCAGGAAGTTGATCCCAGACTGTGTCTCTGGAATGAGCTTCAGCTCAAAGGTGCCGACGCTGAAGTTCCACCTGGTGTCAAGAGTCATAATAAACACATTAAAACTAGAATTACCATCCATCCATGTCTCTGAAAACATGGACACCTCACACACAGCTTGCCCCCGACAGATAAAAAATAGCTACAAAGACAGGATCGTCACCAGGTACAGAAATGATCACTTAGGTTGAGTCTGTTGTCGGTATTCTCTATTCATATTTTTGTATTTGTTGTAAACACAGGCTAATATTGGTTCTCAGGTATTAAGATGTGCAGTGGTGTAAATGTGTGATTGATCAATGGTGGGGAGAGTGTGTTTATGTCACCGTTTGATTAGTGATGGATTGTTTAGTTTGGGATAGACAAGCATGCTGCCTCTTCCTACTCGTTTTTGGACAATTAATGTTAATTTATGTTTCGACTACATATTCTTTTTTTTTTTTTTTTTTTTAATATTCAAAATAAATAAATCAAGTCAAAAGATTTACAAAATCAGCACAACCACAATCATCATGTTTTCTGAGGTCACAGTGACCTTAATCTTTGACCTTCGACCACAACATTCTAATCTGTTTATTTCTGAGTCCAAGTGACTTGTTGAGATATCGTGTTCACAAGAATGAGTTGGACGCAAGGTCAGTGACATTTCACCCTCTAATATCTAATCAGGTCACTGTCAAGTCCAAGTGAATGTTTGTGCCAAAATTGAAGAAATTCCTTCATGGCGTTCTTGAGATATCACATTTACAAGAACAGGACGGACGGACGGACACATACTGCCTCCAGCTATGGCTTAAAAATACTGTAACTGTAATTGTGTAACTGATGATCAAAATCAGGGTCAACCTCGAGATAAAACAGTAATTGTTGATTATCTTGTTTAGTAAATGAATAATTAATCACTGCACTGCTTTATAAATATGCTCATTACTAATATAAACAACACAATATTTATTTAACGCGAGCCTGCTGAGAGACAGATGGTGCGACACTGAGAAACAAGATTATGATACAAGATTCATGTTCAGAAAAATACATTAAATCCAAAGTATCTGTCAGTGTGGTAAATCTACAGAGGGAAGAAATAATCGTCAGTGATGGCTGACAGGTTAACTGACTTTATTTAAAACCACTGACAGAAAGTCAATCGACTGCCTGCGACCGTCTCTGGAAACCACCCAGATACAGTCGCTGCCTCCTGACCGACTCTGACTGACTCTGATGGATTGACTGACTGATTGAATAAAACTCACTTCTCCATCCCTGATCGAGGCCTGATGGCTCGCACGGTCTTCTGAGTCCTCTGCAGCAGGAGCACGTCTTCGGCCTCCAGCTCCTCTTCCCCCCAGCGACTGCAGCCCACCGCAGAGCAGATGTACCGAAGCTGAGACGGACGACATGAAGGGAAATCAGAAGCAGAAATCAGAACATTACAGAGACTACTTTAACTCAAAAAAAAAAAAAAGATGTAATTCTTGAAATGTGTCGACATCCTACAAGCTTTGAGTGATGTCACTGACCTTGCCGCTGTAGGCACCCAGGCCGTAGGTAGTGAGAGATTTGCCCCCGACCAGGACGGTGTCCTCCCCGATCCGGTAAGACGAATCCAGCAGGGACTCCACGCTGAAAGGCACTGCCTCCATACTCTCCCTGTCCCGGTTCCATTGGAACAAGGCACCATCCAGTGAAGGGATGACCATCTTATTGCCAAACACCTGCAGGAACAGACAGGTCGTTGTTTTAAGTATCAGTGTTGACTGGTAACGGGCCAAAACAAGTCGATATAAACGAGTCAGAAATGCAAATATTCCGCCAGAAGAAATTGATCTGGTCATTTCTCATTCAACACAAAACAACATCAAGCTCACACTAGAGGCCGATGCTGTTGTGTTACGTGTCACACCTCTTTTGATTCTGTGATGTCATCATGCTGTCTAAAATCACACACTGGAGCGACACGATGCAGTCGTTGTTTGTTTCTGTGTAAAAATGCAAAGGTAGTGTAAAGACGGGATTCGTAGCAGCTGTATAGCACCATCTCTGAAGAAAAAGGGCTTTTCTTTATCAGACCACGGAACAGACAAGAATTAGCTTCTAGCCACCCCACGCTCCCTCTGCCTCACTCCCCGCCACTGTGGACGCAGCAGCTCAAAGACAGATCTTTAGTTGGCGGCTCAAATTCCGCCATGGCAAATCTCCACCAGGCTGGTGTCTAGCGTCAGCACCAGGTCTAACCTGTGTAACAGTAGCAACAGAAAGTTTGCTGAACTGGGGTTTGATCTGGGTGGATTCGTGTTGCTGCGACTGCTAACTAAGGATTAGGCTACTGAGCTGCTGCCCGCTCTCCACCCAGTGAGGTGGTCTGTAGCGGCTGGTGGTGAGGCAGAGGACACACTGTGTTTCCAGGCTCTAGCTAACGTTAGCTAAATAAACGTGAACTTGAAGCCACAGCTGTGAGCTAGAATGTTTGCTAGAAAAGCAACTTTCTCTGCAGGATTCTCCTCCACTGAATCAGAATTTAACTGAAGGGACGTGCACGCTCATCTGCATCTACAATAGCCAATAGGAATGTCCTCTCTCTGAAATGACCTGTGATTGGACAGAGTCTCCCGTCATGGGCTGGATTTTTAAAGCCTGAAAACTGAGCCAAAAGGAGGCGTCTAGTTTTCTCTCAGGACACTTGATTTACAATATGCTCAGAGGTTATTGGGATTTTTTCAATAATGATGCCAAAATAAAACTGCCTACTCCAGCTTTAATGTTATGTTAGCTTTTCTACTAGTTAACCTTGATGTACCTGTAGCCTGCAGTCCATTAACGTTAGCCAACGTTTGCTTACTCGCGGGCCAAGAACTGCAACACAGGTGATTCTGTGTCACACCTGGACTTCTTCGACTTAAGTTTTCTGAACAAGCCTGACACACAGAACAGTCAGTGAGGTTTTCTTTGTCGTTCCTGCTGAAGCGGCATGATTTCATTACGACACTCTGCTCCACTTCCACTCAGATAACTGCTGAACAAAACTGTTCTTGGCAACAGACCTGATCCTGGATTTATTACTTGCGTCTGATGCAATGGCTTTTAACACACATCAGAGCTCCTGGAGTATCTTTTACAGTTTGAAAAGTGGTTTTCAGCTCAGACAGACAATCGTTCAAACACAAAAACACTCACCCACACAGACAACACTGGCCGACACACACCCACCCACACAGCGGCAGCTTCAGCCCCCACACACTTGGACTCGATCCACCAGCTCGGGACCATTACACAACTAAGAGCCCAAGTAATTAACCTGGATCTTCAGAGAAGTGTGCAGCTGAGGATGATGTGTGTGTTTCTGACTGCAGGGGGGCAGTGAGGATGACATCATCGCACAAACCTGAGCCTAATCCTGATTTAACCCTCGCAGCTTTGGCTCATCAGGAGGTGGAAGAGAGGATGATTGTTTGCCTCAGTCGTTATAAAACACAGGCGCACATCAGAAATCAGTTCATCTGCACGTCCAAGTTGTGACTCAGTCTTTTAACAAACTGTTCAGTGACATAACGACAGGATTTGGACCAATCAGCAGTTCACCGTCTTGTTACTGGACTCTTCCAAAAAGAGACGGACACATCAGGTACTGCTGGTGTCGAACCTGTGACCTGTCAATCATCTTGCCTCTGACATCATCCCTGATTAAAATAGGTCAGTTTCTTTGTGTTGGATTAAAAATGCCAGGAGGCAGAAACGTGTGGCAGAATGATTTACTAGAGAGCAGAGCCGGGAGCAGAGGTGATGTCATCTTTTCAGAGGGGGGCGGTTTGGAGACAAGATGAGGATAAATTTAGCAAGTGAAAGGAGGCGGGGTTAACAATCTGACCATCACATCACACCATGCTGGTTTGGCTGGGGGGGTGTAAAGAGGTTTAGCGCAGAGGGGAACTTCTCAGGGCTGTGGATGAGTCATCCTGCTCCTGATGCCTTAATCTGTGTCTCTGATCCAGCAGAGTGTCCAACACTGTGGATCTGTCCTCTCAGCTGCTCGTCCTGTCCAAGTCCACCACGTCCACGGACACACACACACACTCATGGTGTCACTGCACTGAGATCTGCATCATGTACAAAACTTTGAATCAGCTAATAGTGAAACTGAGGAACACAAACAGAAGTTGTCAGAAGTCACAACTGGAGGCTGAACTATTCAAACCTCTCTCCAAACATAGCTCAGCATCACCATCACATTAGCTCTTTAAAATCAGGCAGGGATGTCTGGGAAATGATCGACTGTTTCTCTATTGAACACCATCAAATCTCAGCACAGTTAGAATGAGTCTGTTCAAGTGTTTGTGGTGTGTGCGATGACATACTGTGACATATTGTGACAGCTCTTGAATCATAAAGCAGTCTGTTTATATAGAAGTCATCGAGGCAGACATTTCAGTTCAGTGACAAGACGAGTCTGAAATGACTCAAGTTATCTAAAGCTAATTCTGAAGGACTTTTTCAATATCATCCCTCTGCAGAAAAGGAGAGCCACTGTTAGATGTGTGCATGTGCGAGTTTCAGAGGGGCAAATCACAGTCTGGATCAGCGGGGTTTGATGGAGGCTGTTTAGGAGCTCAGAGTCATATTTTTCCCCGGGGTTTCTTGCCCCTGTCCTCCGTACGGGCAGACTTCCTCCTCCGGATCATCCGTATTAGCACTAATCCAAGTCAAAGTATCAACAGACGGCAACATCTTTAATCAACTTTTTAAAGTAGAAATAGACAAGTTTTTAGCCAGAAACAAATATCTATAGTATGATCCATCAACTGTTTGATCATCTAAATAAAGAACATGTTTCCTTGTGGTGGTCCTCCTGAAATTATATGTGGTGAAAGTTACTATATTCTGTAATGATTCATGATTAAGGAGCTGATTAAGGAGTGAACAATCTTAAATTTATACGTAGCAATCTCCATCCATACAACATACAAGGGTCTGAAACTTGTGCGTGTAGGTGGGTGTTTCTCGACTTATGGCCACTGAAGGTCTTTAGTAAAACGCCTCTTCTAAAATATATAAACTTTCATTGTCCTCTGTGATATTATTCAACATGGAGAAATCTGAATGAAAGATTTTGCTGTTAATTCTACATTTGTCTTTAAATATACATCAATCGGATTGCGTTATTTATTTTATTTTTTTGCACTGACTTTAAATCATGACTCCATCCACACTGCATACGTACAGATCTAATGCTGAACTCTTTGCTGAAAGTTTGGTTTTGATGAGGGGTAATTCCTACGATCGACCTCAGTGTCACAGATTTTACGACTTTTGGCATCAGACCAGCAGAAGATCATCTGAGATGTTTTTACTTCACAACTAGACCTTGATATTCAGCACTCAGATCATGGCGCGAACAAAAAGCTGCCTGCTACTGCTCAGAAAATGTTTTCATTATTGTTATTATATGGAAATCCGCTGCTCTGCTAATTGGAATAAAGTTATTTAAAAATTCATTCATAAACCCTCCTTTGATTATATGAAAAAAAAAAAAAAAACAAAGATCAAAGGAAATTAAAGACATCCTTTGATGAGATGAGTGTGAAATCATGAACAACCCTCCCACATGTCTTTGTTTTGTTTGTTTGCATAAATCGGTCTTTGTTTACCCTCCCGACACTTCCTTGAAAACAAAAGGAAAAAAAAGAACAAATCAAAACAGAGCAGGGGTTCAGATTTTGAATTTTTAAAATTTTGGAGAATAATAAAATAAAAAATTCAAAAGAGGCTATCAGTTAAAAAAATACTGTAAATGAAGAATCTCGTTTAATCTGGACAGACAGTCTCAAAATTTATAAGAGGGGCCTCCGCAATGCCAGAGCAAACTATTACTCAGCATTAATAGAAGAAAACAAGAACAACCCCAGGTTTCTTTTCAGCACTGTAGCCAGGCTGACTGAGAGTCAAAGCTCTATTGAGCCTTGTATTCCTTTAGCCCTTAGCAGTAATGATTTTATGAGCTTTTTTAATGACAAAATTCTAACTATTAGAGGCAAAATTCATGACCTCCTGTCCTCAGATAGTACCTATCTAACCTCAAACACAGCTGTAAGACCTAATATATATTTAGATTGCTTCTCCCCAATTTCTCTTCAAGAATTGACCGCAGTGATTTCTTCATCTAAATCATCAACGTGTCTCTTAGACCCCATCCCAACTAGGCTACTTAAGGAGGTCTTTCCTTTAGTTAACACTCATATATTAGATATGATCAATATATCCTTATTAACAGGCTATGTACCACAGTCTTTTAAGGTAGCTGTAATTAAACCTCTACTAAAAAAGCCCACCCTGGATCCAGAGGTGTTAGCCAACTATAGACCAATATCTAATCTTCCCTTTATGTCAAAGATCCTTGAGAAAGTAGTCGCAGACCAGCTGTGTGATTTTCTCCATGATAATAATTTATTTGAGGAATTTCAGTCAGGATTTAGAGTGCATCATAGCACTGAGACAGCACTAGTTAAAATTACAAATGACCTTCTGATTGCTTCAGACAAAGGACTTGTCTCTGTACTTGTTTTATTAGATCTTAGTGCGGCGTTTGACACAATTGACCATCAAATTCTACTGCAGAGACTGGATCACTTAATTGGCCTAAAAGGTTCTGCACTAAGCTGGTTTAAATCTTATTTATCTGATCGTTTTCAGTTTGTTGACGTTCATAATGAATCATCCTTAC